GTCAGAACACATACCTGCAACAATTTTCTTTCAGCCATTTGTTTTCGAAGCGAGAGGCCTATTAAAGAGTAGCAAACGACAACAATTAGGAGAGGAACATAGAACGTAGTTATCACATGGAAAAAGTTAAATGCAACCAATACGTCTCGGCTGTAACTCTGTAAATGACAGATTAGTCGTTGAAAAATGTGGATCTAGTTGTTTACAGCAATTGGCAGATTTACAATTATTTTGAATGTTGAGTGGTTGTTCAGGGCTAAAGTCCTGGGATAATTTTAGTCATTTTTGGAGAGCTAAAAATAGATGACGAATTTTTGCGAACTTCGTTATGGGTAATCTAGTGAGGAGCTCAATCCCAAAAAGTGCATGACTTTTTTTTGACACCTCATGTTCCCAAAATTAGACGCAATATCTACCAAACAGAAAAAAAACAAATTATTTCAGATTTCTCCTGCATCATAATATTATAATAAACACCCTTATTTCATATAAACTTACATTCACTAATGGATAGCATTGCTCATAGGATTCGTCCTCAAAAGAATAGATGGTTATCGTTCCGCGGATAAATGCCATGGGTAGGGCACAGAGAAAGGCACAAATCCAGGCGAGGGCAATCAGCCAATCCACGCGATTAGCTCCCGTCCGGTAGCTGTTTAGAGGAGATCTGTAGTTTGCACATTCAGAGTATGAGAAACAAAAATCATAATTCATCCTATTCTGCTTACGTAATGCAACAGAGCATGTCAACAGCTATGGCCGCTACCAAATTAGACCAAAGATGAAATGGTAGTGCACAGAAAAACGAGAAGATTTTGCACATAATATTCCCTAAATTCAATTGACCAGTCAATTCCTAAACTGTAAAAGAAATTGTAGCTCAACAATATTTTGCACCAACCTTGGACCCAAACAATATTATAAAACCAGTAACTACGCCAGACACCATATGTGAAAAGCACCATAATATGAGCAATAAGCAGTTGACGGCTAAGTTTAACTAGGCGGGATTCTACACCACCTTCGC